TACAACGCTTTCCAAAAGATGATGTTCCCTTTGTCATCTCGCTTGTGCCGCCGAGACCAAAGAGCCCTTGTTGAGGTTCTTGGACCTCTCAGATGCTACCCACGGTTTCCGGTTTCCTGAGTTCTCACACTCAGTTTGGTGCTGTAGAGATCATACTCCAGTTCCTGCTTTGGGGACTAACATGCTCAAGCTTGGTGCTACTTACTGCTGTACATGGGATGTGTTTTAGTTCCCCCCTTTTCCCTTGAAAGACTCATTGTAAATGCCTTGGGGTTGTATAAGGACAGAATATAAAGGTTGTTGGGTGGCAGTTGAAAAAGATGTTTCCTAATTGAATAGGTGGCGATGTGAGAAAAACATCACTTTTTTTTGGTGCTGGGGATTGAATTCAGGACCTTGTGCTTGCAAGGCAGGTGTGGTGCCACTGAACTAAATCCCTGGCCCAATGTTTCCTAATTAAATATCCTATCTCATGTTAGGTCTTTAATTCTCCTTACTTCTGCTTCTCATTAGTAGGATATTTTTCTTTTTCCTTTTTTTTTTTTTTTGATATAGGGGATTGAACCCAGGGGTACTTGCCAAATTACCCAGTCTGACTTGGAACATGTGATTCTCCTGCCTCAGCCTCCCAGAAAGCTGGGATTATAGATGTGTATCACTGAATGTAGCTTTTTCTTTTTTCCTTTCCTTTTCTCTTTTTCATGACTGGCACCACCCACCAGTTGTTTTTTTTTTGAGATGTGTCTTACTATGTAGCCCAGGCTGGCCTCGAACTCCTGGAAATCCTCTTGCCTTAGACAAGTCCTGGGATTACAGGCACGTACCTCCACATCTGGCTACTAGAGATATTTTATATATGCTAGTGAGGAAGGTACTAAGAAGGCAGTGTTAAAACCTAGTTTTTAGCTGGACATGGTGGCACATGCCTGTAATCCCAGCACTCAGGAGGCTGAGGCAAGAGGACTTCTGTGAGTTTGAAGTCAGCCTCGGCTACATAGTGAGTTCAAAGCTAGGCTGAACTATGTAGTGAGACCCTGTCTCAAAAAACAAAAACAAAAAAATCAGAATTTTGTAAATTTGAGTTCTCTGGCCGCATCCTATTAATGTCCAGTTCAGAAGAATCTGGCAAGTCAGGCTTCTGCAAATCTTTAATTAGAAAAAATTTTGCTCCCAAGGTGCTTCATTCTTATATGTATCAGATTATTTTTCCTTGGCCAGTGTCAATCTCCTTTCACCTCCTCCTGTCTTCCATTTGGAAGAATATCCTTAGGGGTGGCTCATTCCCATCTTTTTTCCCTGGCAACCTGGACTCATCCATGTGACTTGAGATTGGCCAATCAACACTGGCTGCTGGCCAAGACTTTGCCTCTTGTTTGAGTGACTCAAAGACAAAGGGATATTAGCACAGAATTCCAGCAGTCCTGTGCAGTGCTGCCAGCAGCAACTGCAGCAGCTTCTGGTTTGAGCTGCTCTTGTGCCTCCTTGTTTTCTAAATCTGCTCTCCTCTTGCTACTCAGGGGTACCGATAACTTTGTATTATAAGTCTCTTCTGCTTGTACTTGCAACAGTGTCCATGTTTGTACTTCAAACAGGCGAAAAGAATTTTACCTTACAAACTGTGACAATTTCTTTTTGATGCTGTCAGCTCCTTGAGAACAGGGCCTAAATCTTTGTTCTTGGTCTTTTGTGTCTAGGATAACTCAACTCAATACGTGGAGATTGGGTGTGTGTGTGTTGTTTTTTTTTTTGGTACCGGGGATCGAACTCGGGACCTTGCCCTTTCAAGGCAGGCGCTGGAATCACTGAGCTAAATCCCCGGCCCAATACGTGGAGATTGAATAAGTGAAGCATGTTTGTATTTTCATGAGGCTAGAGAATTTGGAATTTTTGGTATTATTGTGTCCTAACATCTGAGGTTTTTTTTTGTGTGTGTGTGTGTGTGTGTGTGTGTGTGTATGTGTGTGTGTGTGTGTGTGTGTGTGTGTGTGGTACTGGAGATTTAATACAGAGTTTTTGCTTATGCTAGGCAAGCACTGAACTAAATCTCCAGTCCTTTTTATAGTTTTGTTTTGAGATACAGAATCACTACATTGCCTAGACTGGCCTTCAATTTGCCATCTTTCTGCCTCAGCCTACTCAGTAGCTGGGGTTATAGGTGTATGCCACTATGCCTACCTTTGAGCTCTTTATTTGTTTATTTTTGAGACAGGATCTTGCCTTGTAGTTCAGGCTAGTCATGAACTCACTGTGTAGCCCACTGGCTGCAATTAGCCATCTGACTATGGTGGCTCACGCCTATAACCCCAGCACATCCTATAAGTAATCCCAGCACTAGGGAGGCTGAGGCTGAGAATTGGTATGAGTTTGAGGCCACCCTGAACTACATGGTGAGACCTTGTCTCAAAAATAAAAACAAAACAAAAAAAGAAGACCAGTGTAGTGGTACATGTCTGTAATCCCAGCATTCTGGAGGCTGAGGCAGGAGGATTGCTCTAAGTTCGAGGCCAGCCTGGGCTACATAGTGAGTTCAGGGTCAGGCTGAACTATAAAGTGAGACCCTGTCTTAAAAAAACAAATCCAAAAAAAGAGCTGGGAGGGCCAGGGATTTAGCTCAGTGGCACTGCACCTGCCTCCAAGTACAAGGTCCTGAGTTTGATCCCAATACCAAAAGAAAAAAAAAAAGCTTATCTTATGGCCAGGTATTTAGCTCAGTGGCATCACATTTGCCTTGCAAGTGCAAGGTCCTGAGTTGGATCCCTAGTAACAACAACAACAACAAAAAGACCTGGGAGGCAAGAGGATCGCTGGGAGTTTGAGGCCAGCCTGAACTACACAGTGAGTTCAAGGCTGGTCTGAAATACATGGTGAGACCCTGTCTCAAAACCAAACCAAACCACAGGCCAGGTGTGGTGGCATATGCGTGTAATCCCAGCATTGGGGAGACTGAGACAGGAAGATCACCACAAGTTCAAGGCCAGCCTGGGCTACTTAGTGAGTTCAAAGTTAGCCTGAACTAAGTAGTCTCAAAAACAAAACAAACTTGGCAAGTGCAAGGTCCTGAATTGGATTTCTGGTACCAAAAAAGAAAAAAGAAAAAAAAGACCCAAAACATAACAAAACCAAACCAAACCCTCTCCTATGGACTTGGGTCATAAAGACCATCTACATTTAAAAAATATTCTCTTTCCTTTTATTCCTTCCATAGGTACACATTAAGCATCTACTATCTCTCTGCCATGTCTTGATAATTCAGTAGTGAACAAGGCAGTCCACACATGGGAAATAGACCAATATAACCAAAAAGAATCATTCTTCTTCTTTTTTCTTTTTTTCCTGGCAGTATTGGGTATTGACCGTGATCCTGGGGCTTTGTGCCTGCTAAACACATACCCTACAACTGAGCTGCACTCCCAGCATAAAAGAGGAATCATTTATTTATTTTTATACTGGGGATTGAACTCAGGACCTTGCGCTTTCAAGGCAGGTATGGTGCCACTGAGCTAAATCCCCGGCCCCTCATTTATTAAAAAAAAAATTAAGTAAAAAGAGTAGCTTTTGTTTTGGGATGTATATGTTCATGCATGTAACATTCTTTGGTTAAACTGCCTCTTTTTTTTTTTTTTGTAATACAATCAAGAGAACAAAAAATGAAGTTAATTACAAATGGTATAAAATGCTCTCTGTTGAAAATGGACAGATATAAATTAGAGAGTAATTGCCATTGTGGAGGTATGTGATCTGGCTTTTAGATAATGTGGTCAGAAAGGACCTCACTTAGGAAATGACAAACTGAGACTTGATCACATGATGAAGTGTCAGTGATGTAAATAGCAGCAGCCTATTCAATTGTCCAGAGGCTGAAACTTGGAAACAGCCATAGAAAAACGGACAGAAAGTCAGTGTGGGGAGGTGAGCAAGGAGTAGGATGCTGATGGGGATATTGATTGATGGGTTGTTTTAAGTAGGGCAGCAGAAATGATTAGATTTACATTTTTAAGAGCACAATCTGGATGCCCTCTTTCCAGTGTAAAATAATTGTTATTGCCCACAGAAACAGCAAATTCTCACATTTTCTTCTTGGCACTTGCCATGTTCCATTGAGAAAACACCTCAGATTCTTCTCTAGTGGCTGCAACTTGGACCTTGGTCCCAGAGACAAAATAGAACTTTTTCTCAGTAGCAATTGGGATCCTTTCTTTCTTAGGAGTTAATGACTACATGGAGGAGGGATGAGAGTAAACGCCCTGAGGTGAGAATGAATCTGGCTCACTTGATAACTTTAAGGAAGCTGAGAATGTAGGGTAGCTGGATGTGTAAGAATGAGAAAGAGACAGGTTAAATCTAGACTTTGAAGAATCCGGTAGATAGTGTAAGATTTAGATCTTAATCTGGAGAGGAGGGGAAAACAGCCTTTGAGCAGGGTGGTATAGCATTCTGAAAAGCCCTCACTGTGTATGAAGAATGGATTAGAAGGGGTCAGAGTGGAGGATGGAGACTACTGTCATCTTTTAAATTTTTTTAAAAAGAATTTTTGAACTTTTATTTATAAATTAATTTCATAAACTACTACACATAACAACAAAGAGTTCCTGGCTTCCATCCTATATGGCTAGAAAAGTAAATTATTTTAACAGCTATCTAAATCTGCCTCTTGTTTCCAGAGAAATGAGTATATGACCTACACATATTTTCAAACTTAGACTATTGTCATCTTGGAGAGGTGATGATGGCCTAGACCTGAGTGGTGGTAGAAGGATGGAGAGAACCAGGTGGCTTCGAGATGTCTTTAAAAGACAAAATTCCGGGCTTCGTATGATCTCAGGGTTCACCGATGAATAGAGACTTCACGTTCCAGACCTGGCGCAGGCCTGGTTCCCGCGCGTCAAGCCAGTAGGCGTGGCCTGCGAGAGCCGTTGCCCCGGTGATCCGGTGGGGCGGGGCTGAGGGAGGGGCAGCTGGGGCACTGCGTCACCTAGTGGTGGCGCTGGTGCGTGTGGGGGGGGGCGGGGGATACGCTGGGCGCGTCCCTGGGGTCACGTGGTGCGCAGCACGCAGAGTCCTTCGGTCTGTTGGTCCTGGAGCGGCGCAGCAAGAGCGGGGCCGTGAGGTGAGCTCGCGGCGAGGCGCGGAGAGGTGCGGCGAGGCGAAGCGGGCTGGCTAGGGCTGGGTCGGAGAGGGCCAGCGCCGCGCACACGCTGTTTGGGCGGGAACAGTGACGGACGCCACCACAGCCCTGGTTCCCTGCCCGGCCCTGCTCTCTGCCTGGACCCGTTCGCCCAGCCCGGAGGGAGGCCTGGGGACCGCTACTGAGAGCGTGGCGGGCGTGCGAGCGGTGCCCAATCTCGAGGGCTGCCCGTGGGAGTGACGGCGGCTGCGGCCAATCAGCACCTGTCGAGGGGGTTGGGCCCTGGGGTGCGGGCCCGGGGCGCGGAGCGGGCGGTGTTGGGAGTGGGAGGGTTAAGCGCCAGGGCCAGACTAGGCGCCGTGTGGCCTCCTAGAGCCCCATCACCAGCCCTTGCTGTTGCCTTGTGCTTTGGTACTGCGTTTTCTTTTAGCACCTTTTATTCTGTTCTGGGGAGCACACCCCTTTATCAAGACCCCGAATGTGGGAGTGTCCCCTTTCTCTATAGTTTGGAAAATCTAGACGACTCACCTCCTTTCTTAAGTTGTAGTACTGAGATTTTCTCTCAGGTTCTAAGTTCCCCAAACTGAGGGTGTACCCCTTTTCTCTTGCTCCCCCCAAACTGGTAGCACATATCTTTTTTCAAGTCTCCAATCTGAATACTTTCCAATTTGGGGTTCCCCGTTAACAGGCCCCTCAAATACGAGGTCCTGTGACGAAAAGTTTTTGGGTAGTTTTTTATATCCCCACAACTCCAAGGAAGAAAGCCCTTTCCAGGCACCAAATCTGACGACATGTTTCCAGAATTTTGTAAATTTTAAAGGCACTTGCCTTTTCAGCTTTAAAATTGGGGATCTACTAAAAATGAGGTCCAAATGTTGACACTTTCGGACATATATTTTCTGCTTATACAAATAAGGGAATTCACTGCTTTTTTTTTCCTTTTTCTTTGAGACAGAGTCTTGCTATATAGCCTAGGCAGACCTGGAACTCCTGATCCTCCTGTCTCGGCCTGCCTAATCCTGGGTTTACAGGAGTGGGCCACCACGCTTGGCTAATTCAGTGTTTTTTCCAGTCACTCTGTCCTTGGGGGTTGCACCCTTTCATTAGTTCCCCAAACTATCTTGTGTCTTGGGAGAAGACTCATTGACCAGAGAGTGTATTTACTTCCTGTTCCATTAAATGTACTAAATACTTCCCTTTTGGTACAAAATGCACAACTCTAGGAGTTCAGCAACCTTTCTGATGCTTCTTGAATGTGGTGACAGAACCTTTTCCTCAGTCCTCTTATTCTTAGGTGGTGGATGAGTGTTCTGTTCTTTTTTGTTTCTTTTTTGAGACAGTCTCGCAGTGTATTTCATTCTGGCCTTGAACTGACAGCATTCCTCCTGCCTCAGCTTCCCCAGTGCTGGGATCACTGGCATTTGCCACCACACTGGCAAGTGTTCTGTTCTTTTTCTTTCTTTTTTTTTTTTTTTGGTACCGGGGATGGAACTCGGGTCCTTGTGCTTGCGCAGAAGTGTTCTGTTCTTGAATGTACATTCCTACCCTTTTTAGCTTTTCTGCCACTGAAGACATTTTCATTGCTCAGTTTCCTTCTCTCTTTGGAACTACATTCTCCTTTAGGTGCTCTCCTGGTCTGGTTAGTTCACCCATTTCCTCTTCTTTCCTATAGTGAATGCTTATCTTTGTTTGGCACAGCACTTTCTCCTTCTGTCACCTTTTTCTTTTCTCTTTTTGAGAGAGGGTCTCACTCACAGTGCTCCTCTTGTCTCAGCCTCCTGAGTGCTGGGTTTACAGGCATGCACCATTACGTCCTTCTATCACCTTTTTCTGAGCACACTTTAGGTACAATTTCTGAACTCCTTCCCCCAGGATCCCTCTCCTGAAGGGGGACCTGCATACAGCCTTTCATATGTCTACTTTATCTTTTTGCAAACAGGAGCTGTCTATCCTGGTTTGCCCTAGGCCCAGTCATTCTGCTTATTGAATGGCTATATATTCTCTGTTCTCTTCCTCTTGCTCTGGAAGTGGTCTCCACGTGGACTCTCAGGCTCTGCCTAGTGGTGGGTTTAAACTAGAAAGGAATCCTCTTACATATCTTTAGTTACACAGGATTCCAGGCTCCTGGTGGTTTTCTTCTATAAGATTCTAGTTAGGTGTACTTGTTTTTTTCCTGTACTGGTGAAAAAGCCCTTAACAGTGTTTTCTGGTACTATACTACTTTTGGCCCACCATAAGCTGCTTCCCCTACACTGATCTTTTTAAAGAAAATGTTTTAATTTTTATACTGAACTTCATACATTTATCAAGAAAAGAGGCTGGAAATGTAGCTTGGTAGTACAGTGCTTGTCTAGCCTGTGAAAAGCCCTGGGTTCATCTTAAGCATTGAAAAAAAAGTCATTTGGAGGAATCCTTTGGATGTTCCTTTTTTTTTTCATTTGTATGTTTCGATACATAAGAAGTACATTCTTCTTGGGGAATTGGTACATATACATTAATCATTTTTCTTGTATATCCTTTTATTGGTACATTTTAGGTGTACAATATAATGACATTCATCATTGGAAATATGCACCTTTACATACTCTCTTGGTTCTTATTTCTGTAATTTTTATTCCATCTCCTCCTTGCTCTCTTGTCCATTGGACATTCTGTGTTTTTGTCCTGAGGGTACAGACTGGGGTGGGTATTTATCTTTCTCCATCATATTCTCACATTTCTGTCAGTCTTTCCCCCCACCACCACCACTTGAAAAATCTGCAAATATCTGGCACAATCTTGTCTCTTTTTTTTGGTACCAGGGATCGAACTCGGGTCCTTGTGCTTGTGAGGCAGGCGGCAGAACCACTGAGCTAAATCCCCGGCCCACAAGCTTGTCTCTAGAGCCTCTTAGTAGGTTTTTTTTTTTCCTTGTATTTCCCTGTGCCTTCTCCTCCAACCAGATTAATTTTTCCACAGCTGAAACCTCTAGTAGTTAAGGAATAATGACACCTCTGACCTTTCTCTCTTTTGGGGAAGTACAGAGCAGGAGAGAGCTTGGTTCTGAGAATCTACACCAGTAGGACAAGCCAGGAATACTTTGTTTTCAGGAAGAAGCCCTTCTGAATCTCATTTGGAAACTGGATATTTGCCAAGCACCTGCTTCCAAGGGATGCTGGGGGATTTAATGATACTTCCAGGAACCTGTAGGAATTAATAGGCTTTGGGGGGAATTGCTCTGAACTCAGTATTAGAACTTGAATAAAATTAATCATTGTTGTATTTTCAAAACAACTGTTTTCTATTTCTTGTGCATGAAAGCCCTAGAACTAAGCTGTGCTATTTCAGGAAGTGAAATAGATCCCACATTTAAATTGTGTTTATTAGTAAGTGCTAAATTTATTAAAGAAAACTGGAGGTCTGTCTGAGGAGTAGCTAATAAAATGTGGTCTACTGAAGAGAACAGGTACTTTGTCCCTGTACTTGACTGTTTGGTACTTTATCTCTGTACTGTTGGGTTTTGCTCTTGTAAAATATCTTACACCAAAAGTTGTTTCTCAAACTTTTTTTTTCTCATTACTGGAAATCCAACTCAGGACTTTTGTCGGCCAGGTAAATGTGGTGCCGCTGAGCTACATCACTGGCCCCTCTTTTGGCTTTTTTTTTTTGGTGCTGGGGATTGAACTCGGTTCCTTGTGCTTGTGCAGCAGGCGGCGAAACTTGTTTTTTTTTTTGTACCGTGGATCGAACTCAGGACCTTGCGCTTATGAGGCAGGCGAGGTGCCACTGAGCTAAATCCCCAGCCCCTTTTTTGGCTTTTTTATTGTTAAGTTTTTTGTTTTTTATTGGTACCAGGGATGGAACTCAGGACCTCTCACTTACCAGGCAGGTGGCCATGCTGCTGAGCTAAATCCCTGGCCCTATTTGGCTCTTTTGAGACAGGGTCTTGATATGTTGTTCATGCTGGTTTTAAGCTTGTGGCAGTCCAGTGATCCTCCTGCCTCAGCCTCTCGCTAGTGTAGGGATTACCGGTGTCCAGCACCATGCCCGGCCTTAAACTACTCTTCTCTGTCTCTCTCTTTTTTTTTGGTACCGGAGATCGAACTCAGGTCCTTGCACAGTTGGTGAAACCACTGAGCTAAATCTCCGGCCCTTAAACTATTCTTGAGAGTGTTTCATAGACAAAGCCAAAGATTTCTTGGTGTAGATAGAAAGGGAGTGGTCAGCCTTATCCAGGGGTATTGTTTTCCATTCTTCCTTTATCCAGATATACATCCCTTAAAAGTTTATATAATGTTATTGATCCCTTCTAAGGGCTATTAATTGTACTCAGTTACAGTTATTCTAGCTTTTAGCTTTCTTTTCGTAGTATTGGGGATTGAACCTAGGGTCTTGGACATGCCAGGCAAGAAAGTGCTGTCAACACTGAGCTAAATGTTCACATCCCACCCCCTTTTTTGGTGGCATTGGGGATTGAACCCAGTATCTTTGCATTGAGCTATATCCCCAGCACATTTTTTTTTCTGTTTTGTTTCTTGTTTTTGGGTTTTGTTTTTTTGAAACAGGGTCTTGCTACATGGTTGAGGCTGGCCTTGAACTCATTATATAGCCCTGGCTGACCTTGAACTTGCAGTGATCCTCCTGGCTCAGCCTTGCAAGTGCTGTGATTTGCTTTTGTTTTTGACATGGAGTCTCTGTGTAGTTGATGCTGGCCTTGAACTCATGGAAATCCTCCTGCCTCAGCTTGCTGAATGGTGGGATTATAGGTGTGTGCTGCCACGCCTGTCTGATTGTGGTTTATTATGTGCTGTCTCCCTGTGTATGCATATGCCTAATCTATTCTAAGTCCTGTTGGTTTTTTCCATTCTGAATGAGTTAGGTCATCTGTACCTGTTTCCTTTACTGTCATGGCCCTTTTCCAATGTGATCCTATTCCAGGCCTAACCTGAATGACTAGACTATTTTGTGTCTCTCCTCCTCCCATCAATCCCTTCATTCCTCAC